CCTCCTTGGACGTAGCTATAACTGTTTTGTTGGTCTAATTTGTCTACTCTTAATAAAGCTAAGTGCTTTAGTTGGTGAACCCCTGGAACACTTTTATAGTGGCCTTTGGAAGAAAATCTACAGTGAAGCGGAAAGCTCGAACCCACGAGTTCTCTAAATAGATTACTAAAGAATAAGTGTGTGCTGCGTTTTAAAATATATCAAGTGTTTTATTGGGTGTAGGAATAGTAACAGGCACGTTATCCAAGAATATCTTGATTCGCCGCAAATGTTATACCATAATCATGACTTTCTATGTTTTCTGTTTCCAACAAGCCATCACAAGCCATCTTTTGTCTTGAAAGATTTTGACCAAAAATCCCACCTTCGAACATGTTCGACGGCTCCTTTGATAATTTGATGCTTTCCCAATTTCTTTTGAAACAGACAAATTCGCACTAGAAAATCGTCGTGCGATGACAGATTCAGTTGGATTAAGACACCGTTTTGTACATTTTGTACAAAACTTTCAAAACTTTGCCTGGTGCGACCCGGTCGATATTGAAAAAACCCGTCGCTGCTTCAATTCAAGTGGATGGTCAGCTCGATGCATAGTATATGTAGTATTATAAAACTTATTAATAATGCATGAGCTATTACTCCAATAAGGGTTGTCCATTTCATYAKGTGATTGACCTTGTAAATCAGATACAACACTGTGATACAACACTAGTGTTGTATAAGATTTACAACACGGTCGTCACCTTGAGACAACCCAACACTAGCAAAGGTCTCAGTTTTAGTGTCGCATCATAGACCTTCACTAGGTTTTGAAGCAATCAAAGACGGATAACAGAACTGGCTTATGCAACAGATGGCTTGCYTTCCATGTGGGATGGATAATTATTCAAAATGTTCTGTGTTGCAGTAAATTGCGCATGCTTAATAGCGACTCAACTCAGCAGTTTCCTTAATTGCCATTTTTTGTCATTTATCTCACTGTAATTCATGTTAATTTGTGTTGGAGTTTTATAAGTCGTTTACAACATTCGCGTCCGTGTTGTATGGGAATTACAATCTCTCGCCTGCGGCTCGAGATTGTAATTTCCCATACAACACGGCCGCTCATGTTGTAAACATTACTTAAATTAATTAGCAAGTATGCAAGCAAATATTTAGAAATGATGTTGACTAGCGTTTACAAAAGCGCCTAACTTCTACAACAAGAAGTTAATCAAAAACTAATAAATTCTAGTCAATGATTTGGTCCTATTTGAAAGACAACAGCCTTGCTTTGAGCTCGTGATAGCATTTTCATTTACTACTTTACAATCAAAATCTATTGAGCAATGATTGAGCAACTACGCGGAGTGTTCACTAAATAAAATGTAACGCCAGATGATTGACGGCCTAAGAAAGCCCACCGTTGGGTCTAAGTCAGCAAATTGCAGTACAGCAACAACAGGGAGGGCTTGGAGGGAATGTAGCGCGAATACAATTTTGAGATAGCTTAAACAGGCTGAATTGATCTTGCTCTAAACAGGTTGAAATTAGGTTTGACCAAGGCGGGACGAAGGAGTAACGAAGGCGCATGGTTTTAATAAGGAAAATTAGTAACGGATGTTCTGTTCATTTTTGATGCAATGTTTCAAAACAGTTGGATTGACAGCTAAGTGCTTGTAGCGATAAAGAAATAATAAAATAAGCTGATGTTGATCATTACTTTTGATTCATAAATTTTGTTGTTTGCAGTTGTAACAATGTCCTTGATCTTTACGTGGCATGTATGATTGACAGCCAATGTTTCTTTCGTTTTAGGGTTAGTATGTTAAAACATTCTTAACACTGTTCGACCTTAAGTGGGTCAACATATCTGTTGACAGTGCTGTTGACAAAAACTGGAAACTTTTTATGGACATTTCAAAAAGTTGTCGGATGTTCGACCGCGGCCTTTCCTCGCATAGTTTTGTAAGAGTCATAATCCAATTTGTGATATCTCGTCTGGAATCAAGACGCTAATTGGATAATTGAGTAGAACAGTGCATAGCTAGCTATACGCGTTCCCGTTGCAATCATTGTCGTAGTCGCTTTATCAGCAAATCATAAAAATGAAGATTTTTTTCACCGAAAAAGATAATGCAGCGGTTGGAAAAAGAGTTCGAGCAGTTGGTATGTGCTACTTTTCTGGAAATGATCTGTCAGTGGGGAAAGTATATACTTTGAAAAGGAACAAGGCCAACAAAAACGATACAAATTGCCTGGAAATACGAGAAGTAGTCAGACCAAGAGCAGTCATTAATAGAGAGATCGCAAAGCTGATTTCGCCTTTACTCGACAATGGAAAACTGCATAACGCTGATTGGTAAGATAATTGTTGTACGATATGCATAGTTATGTTACGTTTAATGCTTTTTTTAAGTTTTTGATCATTTTGAAAACGTTTATTCGTTAAATACTGTAACTAATTGCGTTACATTGATTTACAGTGAAGTTATCGAAGAAGCAAAGTGGTCAAGGGGTGACACCCGAACACCAGCAAGAGCGCACAAGGTTAAAGTAGGGATTACTTTTACCGATAAAGCTGATCCAGAAATACAAAGACTTCTTGAATTGTTGAAGAAAGAATATAAACAAGAAAGCTGATCTCTGAACATTGACAATGTACTTATTTACCAGTAACAAGGTCTAACAACATTCTTCAGTTGACAGGGAAAATAGTTTCAAACTTGCATTATTCAAATTGTTATAATTCTAGTAGATTGATTTTATTCAGCGAAACTTCACTGTATGTTTAATGTTTTTGTGACAGAATTAATAAAGCTCGTTTACTTGAAAGTAAGCTTAGTCTACGAGTCAGTTTTCTAATAGTTGAATTCTTAGCACCCCGAACAAAAGTCATTATTGAAATGTTTAAACACTCACCTGTACCTCAAGTGAAGTCGAACAACTTTGGTTTTCCTACTGCACAATGAACAGCGTCTGGATAAATGGGCAATTTGCCCAAGACCTCCCAGTCAAAGCGCAAACTGCCGCTACAAAATGTAAAAAAAAAACAACAGCAAAAACAATTTATCGGCATTCCACTGAGAAACGGTTATATAGTGAATTCTGAATGAATTCTATAAGGATCAAATAAACAAAGCAATAATTATAACATTAGAAGCAGCCAGACCTAGTGCTTTATCACAATTGACAATAAACCTGTTTTATAATTTACGCTCTAAGTATTTTAAAAGCAGTCGTTTCAAAAAGTCTTCAAATTTCGTCAAGGTATAAATACTAGAGTTAGGCACAAAAACTGTACA